ACTGATTCTCAAAGCTGTTTATCTAGTCCTAATCTAGCTACTGACCTATAGTTTTGCATCTCCAACTATGTACCAGAGATCTTGAATCGAATGTCCCATAGATTTTATAAACTCAGTGTGTCCAAAACTGAACATATTCTCTTTCCCCTCACAAAACTTCCTCCTTCCAAATGTCCCTGTTACTTTCAAGGGCACCACCATTTTCTTAGTTACATGATGTTCTGCACCTTCATTCAGTAGCATGCGTGTAGGAGTGAGGGCAATAAATGATGGGAGTGATCCAAGGCTAAGGCTTGGCTGGGGATGACCAGTGATATGATAAGGAGTCTAGTGATTCAAGAGAGAACAATGCAGAGCTGAATTGCTTCACCAAGGAGTCAAGATATAGTGAAGAGAATGGCCAGCATAGGGGTGATAGCCTGGGAGAAAATTGTGGCATTCAGGGTTTGGAGGTCATTGTGCGGATGAAGAGGTGGGTTTTATGAGAAGGAGCAGAAGAGGTAAAAAGCTGATAGAGTATGATTGGATAAGAGGATTTCAGAATTTTTGATCATAGTGGTGGTACATTTGGGAGCAACAGCAAGATCAAGGGTATAACCATCTTTGCATGTAGTGAGGTTGTATGGAGAAGGAGCTCATGAGAGGTGAGTATGTTGAGGAACTGAGTAGTTAGGTATTTGAGGGAGAATCAGTATGTATATCAAAGTCCCCTAGTATAAGGACAGCAGTTGAAGAGGAGAGAAAAAATTGTGAGCCATGTATTGAACTCACTGAGGAAAGAAGAGAGTGACCTGGGAAGACTGTAGACAACTACCAGGATTTTGATTGGGTAGTAGATATGAATAGCATGGACCTCAAGGGAAGAGAGGTTACTGTGTGATGAAGGAATGGATAGAACCTGGAAATAGCAATAGAGACCAAGGAGTATTCCAATTGCCCTATCTTGAGGAGAATGAGTGGAGGTACAGCTAGTACTGGAAACGGTGGCCAAGGAGGCTGTGTTATCAGCAGGAAGCCAAGTTTTAGCAAGAGTTCATAGATGGATGGAGTGCAAGAGGAAAATTTTAATACAAAGGGAAGTGTGTTGTCTATGGAACAAGCATTCCAGAGGGTGCAATGGAAAGACTAGATAGAACTAGGTTGAAACTTTGGGGTGAAAGTGTTGAAGGGAATGGTACTGAAGAATAGTGTGGTAGGGTATAGGGAATGGGGTTTGGAAGATAATATACAGGAGTTCAGAGTACTGGAATGTGAATGGTAAAACCAGGTGTGAAAATGTTCATCATTGAGTGGATAGCACTTTTTGTCTATTTTCAAAGGACAGATGGTACAGGATATGGAAGGCATGAAATCAAAGGAAGGTTGATCTTCTTTGCCCTGGAGGCTCTCCGCATCCCAAATGGGAGACTAGGCTGGCAGCAGGAGGTAGAAGTTGCCTTGTATTGGAACAGATGGATGTGGTTGTTTGGGATAGATAGAAGACATGGTCCTAGCCCCTAGCATATGCCCCATTCTTACTTCTGATACTGCCACCACTCTGGTGCAGCCAGTCAGTCAGTCAACAAGCATGTATTGAGCTCTTACTACATTCCAAGTACTGGGCTAAGCACTGGGAATACAAATATGAGCAAAAAGAAAGACCGATGCAGCCCTTTATTATCTCACCCTTGGACTATAGCAACAGTCTATCGACTAGCTGCTCTTTCTCACGACAAGTCACTTCCCCACCCCAGTTCATCCTCCACTCAAGTGTCAAGGTGATCTTCCTAAAGTGGAAGTTTAACCCTGTCACACAAACCCTCAACTCAATAAATTCCTGTGGCTCCCTATTAGCTTCAGGATAAAATTTTTAAAATCCTCTGGGCATTCATAGCCCTTCATAATCTGTTCCACCCCACCCCACCTTTCAGTCTTCTTACACCTGGCACCCTTCCCCTACATCCTCTGTCATCTAGAGGCACTTCTTGTTGTTCCTAAAACAAGACATTCCATCTAGATTTGGGGCATTTTCATTGGCTGTCTCTCATGACTGGAATGTTCCTCCTTCTCATCTCTACCTCCTGGCTTCCTTCAAGTCTCAGATAAAATCTCACCATCTACAGGGAACCTTTCTCTTCATTCTAGAGCCTTTCCTCTGTTGACTTCTTCTAAATTATCCTGTATATATAGCTGGCTTGTATGTAGCAGTTAGCATATTATCTTCCACTTCAGATTTATGAACTCCTTGAGAGCAGGGACTAGCTTTTACTTTTCTTTGTATGCCCAGTGCTTAGCACAGTGATTGGCATATAGTATGTAATTAATAAGTGTTTATTGACTAGCTGACAATTGTCAGCAGGATAGAGAGGTAGTAGAAAAGAGCATTTGGATTGCATCCTTGAGCTACTTCATTTTCAGGAATGGCCAAAAGAGACAGAGGACCTCTGGTTCTAGAGGTTATTAGAAAATGACCAGTTTGAAAGATTTGCTACTTCCATGTTTTCTTGATTGAACAAGACAAGTCACAAGTAAGTTAGTGCCCTGTATCTTTATTCAAAGTATATGACCAGCTTTGTCCTGGCATCGGGACAGATCATAAAAGAAACAGAAGATTGCTAGTGACATACACATGGACAGAAATCAAATAGGGTAAAAAGCATTTGATCTTAAGACAATCCTGCTCATGAAGCTTGCCCTGATTCTCCCAGATGGAAGTAATCTCTCTTAGAGCACTTTGCATCTCACCTAAAGCACTTACCACATTCTGCTATGAGTACATGTTTTATTTCTCCTACTAAATTGTAAACTCCTTGAGGGCAAGGAACATATTTTGTTCATCTTTGGCCCTCCAGAGTTCTTCAACAGTATACTTGCATGTCGCAGGCACTCCATAAACGTCTCTTAAATTTGGATTCATTCCCAAGCACAACAATTCTTTGGCATCACAAAGAGTCACAGTGAAAGTTTCAAAAGTTTATTCATCTTCCAGATGTTTAAGGTTTGGTGACCCACCTTGTTACTTGGCACTCTTCTGCATATCTGTAACTTTCCTTCATTTGGTTCACATTATAGACAGATCTGTGTTATTTGGTTCTCTGTTGTGTTCTTCATAGGAATGGAAACAATGATGAAAACAAATTGCCTTTAATGGGAGATATCAGAAACTTTTTGAGCCTTGCCTTATTTGTTCTCTTCTTTGGAAGTCATTGTTCCTTCTAGAGCTTAAAATGTATCCCATTATGTAATGCCAAAGTAAAAACAAAATCTTTTTCTATCAGAACTTTTCTGCTCAATCATTATCTGTCTCCTTTTAACAATAGTTTTCTAAATTCTCAAATATCTATTTCCCTTCTGAAACACTATTTGTCACTAGAAAATGATAAATGAGATGTACCCCAACTATTATGACCTTCTATAAGCATTTAAAATAATTAATAAAGAGCAGACACATACAAGCTAATCTGTACTTTATAATGCTTATCTCCATGAAGTCAGATCAAACACTGCATTTTTCATTGGCCACTTCTTAGTCCTTCTACACATGGCATGCACTGTTTGTCATCCTTATCCAGAAGGGATGATGTGTTATCTCAAGAGTAAATAAAAACTAAAGAGACAAAGGCTGCAGCAGAAATAATTATTGTTAATTAAAATAATAATGTTATTGCATGTTTTATTAAAATGGTTGATCTGAATATATCCTAGAATATTTCTTTCCCTGATATGAATTCACTTAGTGTGGATAGAAACTAACTTGGCCAAATGTCATTTATGACAGTAACTATTAGCAAATTAATTCAGTTCTATTTTTAATTCTAAAGCAAAAGATAACCATCTTTTAGCTTAAGACTAATAAACAAACTAGTGAAATAATTAGTTTTCTTATTAATCAAGTGAGGATAACATTACCTATTCTTCCTTACAAGTTGGTTGTGAGGCTCAAATAATATAAAAATATAAACACAAATTGAGAAGTATAAAGTACAATATAAAAGATGATCTATTATTTTATTAATAAATTATTTCAATTCAAATAAAAAATCAATTGAAAAATGCAATTAAATGTGAATTTAATAAATTTCCTAAAACAATCCCCTATTTATAGACAATAGCTGAATTTTTAGAGGTGATGTATATATATATGTATATATATATATACATATATACATATATATATATATATATATATATATATATACATATATAAATTCTGTTTTATGAGACACGCACAAATATGTGTTGACCTAAGGAAAGAAAGGGTTACAATGTTCAGTAGAGGAGGAGATTTGCACACGCAAAATTCTGGGTCTATCAAAAAATTATAACAGGAGAGAAGTATACAATAACACTTTGAAAAATTGCCATTAGATTTTTTGGAGTAATTTCTGTTTAAATTTCTGTTCCAATTTTATCATTATTCACACATTAAGTTTAGTAGAATCTATGATAACTTTCCTGATGTGCACACAAAGAAGGGATAGGGAAGTATGTCTTCAGTAAGAATGGGAGGGAGGAGAGAAAGAAGATTTCATAGAATAACAATAACAAAAAAATCAAGAGATTATCATCCCTTAATGAGATCAATAAGGTGATCTCATTGCTTCTCATCTCCAAATCCCACATCCCTACCTTGGTTGTCAGGACCAAAAAGCCCCTGAAAAGGAACACAGAAAGAGACACAAGTTAAAGAGCTGTGTTATTGTTAATCAAAGGCCATCCTGAGCTGTGGAATCAGTTCTGGGGGTTGTTTTAGTCTTCTACCACCTGCTGTCCATGATAAATGTTCTTATTTCTCTTTATTTTGCTGTGAGAACTCAGAATGCTTCACGTCATTATGATGTCCAGATGATGTTGCATGAATTGGAGGTTATCTATTATGACATGAAAACTACCTAGCATATAACTGTGAGGAAAGGATGCACTTAAAGCCCAAGACTAGGCCACTGTACTCTTCAACATTTGTTGCAATTTGAAGACCAAGAGGATTAATATTACCTTTTTTTTCTCTCTACGAGGTCAGGCCAATGATCTGATAACAGGGAACTGAACTCAGATTTTTTTTTAATGAAAGCAGAACTTATGTTGCAGTATCTACCGAATATAATGTCTAAGTTCTTTGCTAACTATAGATTATAATGATACATTTATAACCATCTACTTTGTTTTGTATTTCATCGTTTTCGAAGGAGCTCTGAAAGCTTTTGTCAATTGAACTAGTAGACATATGCAGCTCGACCACTTTATGCTTGGTAAAACACTTCTAAGTTATTCTCTAATATTCTCCTCAAGAGAAGTCAATGTGAGCATTGTGGAAATTAAGACAGAGAGAGCAGTGAGGCAAAACACCACATGGCATATCAGTTGTAGATTTAAACCTACTAATGTCTGTTTTTGACTTAAAGTGTCTCTGAGCCAGACACAGTAATAATGGGGAATTTTAGGAGAAAAGAACAGAATTGTTGAAATCTAGTCTCATTTAAAAAAATGAGCCCGAGGGGAAAGGCTCCACTGGTTTCTTGGAAAGAGCATTAAATTGGAAGTTCTAGGTTCTGCTAGCTGAGTGACATGCATTATTTTGTTTATCCGTAAAATGAGTGGTTTGGTGTAGAAGATCTCTGTGATTTCTTCTAGGACTGAAGTTTGTGAGGGAGCATGGTACAATGGAAAGGGGTTGGATTTAGAGTAAGAAGAACTGAATTCATATCCCACTTCTGTTACTTACTAACTTTGTGCCCTTAGACAGGCCACAGCCTGGGCCTCAGTTTCCTCATTTGTAAAATGCAGAGACTGAACATAGATGGTCTCTAAAGTCCATTCCAAGCTCTAAACCTTTCATCCTACGTGTCTATTAAATGCAGACATAGCAACTTTCTTTTATGGATTAAAATAAGGAGTCAGCAGGACAAATAAGATCACAGAAGGAATTGCTGTAGGCATCTCACAGAGCTAGACTTGTAAAATCCATAAAAGAAAGGCAGATATAGAGATATATTTGAAATGGATATATACTTGAATTTCTTTTTTTTTCTTTGTCTATTAAACTAACAGTGATAAAAGGAAGAAAAATCCAACTTCATTACATTGTAGCATAAAGAACCATGCCTGTCACTATGCCTCCAACCAGAGATCAAAGAAATCCTCTACGAAACCCTTTGGTTTACAGAACTTTGTCAATCAGACTGTCAGTGTTTCGGATTGTTATCCAAGTAGCAATCCCAAATTTTGCTGGATATATCAGATCATCTCCTGCTCCATAGGTAATATTTTTCCTAGAATTTTATATTGAATTGGGTTCATGTGCCTGCCCCTCAAAATCTTTGAAATCTGAAAGAGGAACCTCAGGCATTTGGGTATAATCTTTTACTCACAAACAACTGGGCTGGTATTCTCTAGGGAATTTTTTATGTTATAGCCATCATAATTATTCAGGGGATAATTTATCTCAATTGAGAATTATCTAGGACCCTTGCTATTCCTCCTCCGTCATGGTATTTTATCCACTTTTTAGCATGTTCACTGCTTTTGCCCTCTCTTGAGTAATGCAATGGTAGAGATGTAAGTTTCAAAACTAAACATCTGCTCTGAAACATTAGACTGTCCTGGCACACTAAATGGTCAAATGGCTTTGTTCATAATCATAAACCAAGTGTGTGACAGCAGCTGGACTTAAATTCAGAGTTTTGTTACCGCTAAAATGACCCAACAGGGAGCTAGGTGCCTCAGTGGATAGAGCACTTATCCTGGAATCAAGAGGACCTGAGTTCAAATCTGGCCTCAGACACTTACAAACCGTGTGACCCTGAGCAAGTCACTTAACCCCAATTGCCTCAAAAAAAAGTGGGCCATCAATCTTGTGCAAAATAGTTGCTTAAAAATGAATGTCTTTTGAATTAAATTGAATTGTCTACATTGTTCCTGAATCCCCCTAATTAAAAGAAAAACCTATTTTGTCTCTAACCTAGAATGTCTCTCTAACTATGGGAACAACGATACAATAGTTCCAACATTCCCAAATCTCAAATGTTTTATCAGAGGCAGTGCCAGATAACCTATTTGCGTTTTATAGAAACACCAAATGTTTTTTAAGCTAAACAATCACTTTGTATGTGATACTGGTCTTCAGGATCTTTTTTTTTTTTTTGGGGGGGAGATATGCAGGGCGGGGATGAGGAATAATAGATAGTACACAAGGCAAGTAATTACTCTACCTTATAATATTAACATTTACATAGCACTTTAAGCTTTGCAAAATGTTTTTTACATATAGTAGTATCTCATTTGATTCTGCAATATTCTGTGAGGCAGATATCAGTATTATTCTCATTTTATAGATGAGGAAGCCAGAGATGAAAGAGATTAAGGTCCAAGGTTACCGAGTTATTATCTGAGGCAGAATTTAAACCAGGTCTTCCTCAATCCAAATCATGTATTCCTTCCATAATACCCCCTTCTTTTTATACAGGAATTATTTTGGACTAGAGTTCCAAAATAATAATATTTTGGGCTTAGATACATATTATATTGGAAATTTGTTCTTTGTGTCACAGGCCTCAGATTTGGTAGACTTCCATACGATATTTTGAAATTTCATTCAGTGGGGAATAATCAACAAAACTACACACTAGATTTTATAAAATGAGAACTTTGTTTTTATTTGCCTTCCTGAAATAGAAATAGCACCATTTGGGGAAGTTATAGCAGTTAATTAGACAGAAGTGGCTAACGGTAGTGATATAGTGTTCATTTCCTTATTTACATCTTTCCTCATGAAGCTTGAGGTACAGATATGTCCACTTCTATTCATTCTTCCTCTAAAAATCAAATTTCCACTCATTCTGCTAAACAGGCTTAGTTTGTTCCTACCTCATCTGAGTTGTTCCAAATGAAAACCAGACACTCATATCTTAAAAAAAAAGAAAAACAGACACTCAAATCTTATACCCACAGATTTGCCTAGCATAGCAAATTTGATAAAAATGATTCATAATGGAAACTATTCTAGCAAAAAACAAAACAAAACAAAAAACAAACAAAACAGCTTAACGTATCTGGTGCAATGGGTGAGACAAAGCATTGTGGCCTCAGTACTCAAGGGAAGAAAAAGATTGTGAGCTTTCTTGAACAAAGAGCTCTGTACTAAAGTTACCATGGTGGCCCACAGAGTTAGAGAGTTGTGTGCATAGCCAAACATCATGTGATATAATAAATCAAAGTAAGGTGACACTTAGCTTTCCCTGAAGAATTGAATCCCATATTATTCTTTATTCTGTAAGCAGAAGGCTTCATCTGGAATTTCTGTAAGGGGGACAAAGAACGTAAAATGTTTCGCATATAAACTGGAATGATTTTAATTTTCGTGTTGTACTCATTCATTGTATTTATCTCTCCAGATTAACAGTGCGGCTTCTTCCTGTTTACAAAGATGGAAAAGTGGAAAAGAAGTGGTTATTATTTGGAAAGCCAAAAAAGAGCATTGTTATTGTATCAATAAAAGGAGACCATATGTCCACATTCATTTTTGGTACAATCTCATTTTTCTCTACATGCTTCCATAATTCCTCACATTAGTTCTTAAAACTAATTAAATACCCTTAAATGTATATTTTGGATATGACATCTATAAATGGACATGAAATTAGGAGGAGAAAGTTATTTTGAAATATGACAAATAGTAAAATATGATAAAATACCAAGTCTCAATAATAAATCCTCTCAAATAAACAGTTGGGTTTTTGTTTTTAATTTTTTTGGGGGGTGGGAGGCATTTGGCTCATAGAATTTTCTAGGTTAATATCAATATATAACAAGAGCTTAAGGACTCCACTCCAGAAAAACATGGGAAGAGAAGTGAAAAGAAGGAATACATATTTATTAGGCATCTATAATGTGCCAGGTACTATGTTAAGTAAATTTTTTCTAGATCTCTCATTTGATCCCCACATCAACTCTGAGAGGCAGATACTATTATTATACCCATTTCACAGTTGAGGAAATTGAGGCAGACAAAGGGTAAGTGACTTGCCCAGGCTCAAACATCTAGTAAATTTGTGAAGCCTGATTTGAACTCATCTTCCTGACTCCAGGCCTAAAGCTCTAACCACTGTATACCTAGTATCAAAGAGATGATAAACCTCAAGTCAGGAAGACCTGGGTTCAGATACCTATAAACTGTGTGGCCCTGGGAATATCCCTTAACATCTCAAGAACCCAAAGCTATTCTCTAAGATTATAAACTGCAGAACACTTTCAGAACTTCACTGGTAGATTTCTATATCAGGGGATCCTTGTGTCATTAGAATCCCAGGTCCAGACTGAAGAAAATATATTGTTATTACTTATTGTGATTATTATTGTTTACAACTACTACTCCTACTCTCATTTATATTAGCTCAAAAGTTTGCAAAATGCTTTTCCTCACAGTAGCCTCATATATCATCCCGACTATTGATGCTGTTGTCATAAACTGCATTACATCATTATATAAATAATGGGGAAAAAACCTAAGACCCGGAAATTTTATATTCAATGTTTGGGGTGGGAGGAAATCTCTTAATATATGTTTTGAAGTCTAATGACAACAGATTATAATTGAACTAAAGAAAGATATATAGCATTAGGCCAATTAAAAGGTCTCAATTGTGCATGATTCAGTGTTCATTCATCACAATGAGCTCTAATCTAGTTGAGGCCTAAGCACAGCAGAAGCAGCAAATAAGCATAATTAACACCAAATTTAGCCAAAGTTTTGGGAGTCATTTTCATAATGCGATAGCAAAACAAAAAAAAAAAAAAGAATTTTAATCCTTCTTTACTTTTCAAGCAGAATTGGCCTATATGTCAGGTATTTTCCCAACCATGGAGAGCTCATCATTGGATAAAGGTTCCTTTGATTTCCATTATTTCAAAATATGTTAGGAGCTCCTTATAAACAAACAGTAAAGGATCCAAGTAATATTTTGCATAAGAAAGAGTGAGGAAGCACTCTCCCAAATGTCCTATGACAAAATAAATTGCTGGATAAAAATCTTAGTAAACGCCAAAGGCTGATGTTTTCCTTTTTGTTTGTCTTTTTGTTTACATTTCCATTCTGGTCTATGTCTCCAATGCAAGAAAGTTCTTCAAAAGATGTATTTCTGTAGAGTTGTCAACATATTAATAGAGGTGGCACTTTTCAGATCAAGTGGGAATCAGTTCTATATTTCAAGTGTAGAACAGGAAAAGGCTTGAATTCCTTTAGGGCTCCAGACAACTGTTTATTAAACTTTCACAGGCTACTTCACAAAACAGAAACAGAGGGCAGGTACAAAAAAGCCTTGAAGAGAAAAACACACTGGAGGCCAAATTCTCCCTCATTCAACACAAGAGCACACACATGCACTTGTACTCTCTCTTCTCTCTCTCTCTCTCTCTCTCTCTCTCTCTCTCTCTCTCTCTCTCACACACACACACACACACACACACACACACACACACACACACACACCTTCAATGAAGGTAACAGATACTTCTTTTATCCATTCAAAGGAAAACCTTAGGTACTTTTTATAAAGCCAAAGCAATTCCCAAAGTCTACATAACAAAAATTTGCCAGACACAAGGTTAGATCCAAAGGTGAAAGTTCACTTCTTTTTCACGAGAAAGGTCTTGGGAGTATAAAACAATCTTTCATCTAGAAATGTACAGAGCAGCTTTCTGAGGTTATAAATGAAAGGGAGGGGGTGAAGGGAGGAATACTGACAACCTGAATTCAACTGCAGAATTTTGTGGAAAAATGTCAGCTCAAACCAGGGGATCAAGAAATATTTCTGAAGTCAGTTTATCTAAATTTAAATTTAACAAATTTAAACTATTAAAATTTAAAGCCATCGAGTAGTCTTCTGAAGGTCATCCTGGTGGGCATGGTACTTTGCCCACAAAATAGGACTGTACTTCCTCTAGGCATGTTTCCCCAAAGGTATTCTATTTTTTCCTAAACATGGCCCTTAATTAATATCTTTAGAGAAAGAAAAAGAAAAGAAAATCTATGGAGGATTGAATGATCAAATTGAAAATATAAATGGATAGAATATTTTATCTGTATGATAAAATGTTGGTCATTATTAAAAGGTACAAAAATAAGTGATATTTTATTTTATTTCATTTTGACTTATCAATAATAAAAGTTTATGACTAGCTATATTCTTGCTTTAAATGTGAGCAGGAGCAAAAAAATAGAAGAGTAGAAGAAATAAAGCACAAATATTCAATTTGTCATTAGACATCTAAATGAGAAAGGAATGTAATTTTGCAATAATTCTAAGGCAATAAAAATAATTTGGAAAATCTAATTTATCATAAATGTTCTTATTAAGAAGGTTTAGTTGAAGAAAATGCTGTGGTAGTTTATTGTAGCTTGTTTTTCTAATGCCTGGCAGGAAAACAATAAATGCATTGCACCAGCAACACACTCTCCTTACTTTTCCTCTTCACTGATAGGTGTGTCTTTGTTTCTTCAACATACAAACAAAATTCACCCTCTCCAAGAAGCATTCCAATTAATCCCAATCCTAAAAACTGCTTACTTCCTTTGAATTGTCCCTGTGGTATTTATTTACTTTGCACGATGCTATTTTCCATTTATTTGCATGTGATTTTACAAACATTCTTAAAGCTTTAGAAGAAAAATGGGAGCAAGGACACATTATGGAGGAATATAAAAAGAAGTCTGTCAGGAAGGCAAAAATCCAGAATGTCCTTTTAGGAAACACTAAGAAAAGTAAGAAACCAGTCTTGCCCTCTCCATCATTACCCCCAACATATGGGGGCAAGAAGATGAAGATACATCAATGATTGGAATGAATGGAGCCATAGAGCCAAGTATACTGTCTGGCAGATTGTTCAGTTGTTTTTCAGTCTTGTCTGACTCTCAGTGATCCCATTTGGGATTTTCTTGGCCAAGATACTATAGTAGTTTGCCATTTACTTCTCTAGTTCATTTTACAGATGAGGAACTGAGGCAAACAAGGTTAAGTGACTTGCCCAGGGTCACTATGTTAAGTGTCTGAGGCCAGCTTTGATAAGTCTTCTTGCCTGCAAACCCAGTACTCTTACCCACAATGCCACCTAGCTGCCCTTCAAAGCAAATATTGCACATTCAGTTAATATTGGCTAGCTGATTAAGTAGCATAGGCACTCTCCAAGTTTCAAAACCTTGGGTTATAAGTATCCTATACACACATACAGCCATTTTGTTCACTTTCTTTCCATTCGCCCACACAAATCAATCCCACTATGGTAAATAATCAATCTGATTTGGTCTCCTGGCAACATCTGGTGGTCACCACAGGGAATTGTCTGATCATCTGTCTCTTCCCCACTTCACCCCTACTTCCTTCCTTCGTCATGTAGATGATAATTAATCAATGTTTTCTACTTTAATCTGTTTTTAATATGTAATTTATTATTGATATTATTTTAACCTTTTTTTAAAATTTTGAATTCCAAATTCTCTCCCTCTCTCCCAAGCCTTTACAAACCCACTGAGAAAGCAAGCAATATGATGCAAATTATTCATGTGAAATTATGCAAAAGATATTTCTATGCTAGCCATACTGTAAAAAAAAAAGCAAGAAAGATAAATTGAGAAAAGTTGTGCTTCAATTTGCAGTGAGAGTTCTTCAGTTCTTTCTCTGGAGATAAATAGCTAGTAGATAGATTCATCATGAGTCCTTCCTAATTGACTTGGATCATTGTATCGATCAAAGTAGGAAATTCTTTCACAGTTGATCATCATTACAACATTGCAATTACTACACACAATGATCTCCTGGTTCTTCTCGCTTTGCATCAGTTCATATAGTTCTTGTCATGTTTTTCTGAAACCATCTCCCTCATTATTTCTTATAGAACAAGTGTACTCCATCACGATTATATGCTACAAATTGTTCGGCCACTCCCCAAATGATGAGCATCCCATTGATTTCCAATTCTTTGCCATCACAAAAAGAGCTGCTATAAATATTTTTTTTGTATTTAAAGGTCCTTTTCCTATCTATTTAGGATACAGAACTAATAGTGATATTTCTGGATAAAATAGTATACACAGTTTTATACCCCTTTGGCCATAGTTCCAAATGTTTGTCCTGAATGGCAGTTCATCAGTGTAGCTATTTTTCCATCATCCCCTCCAGCATTTGGTATTTTCTGATGGGAGTGAGGTGGCATCTCAGATTTTTTAATTTATATTTCTGTAATCCATGGTTATTTAAAGCATTTTTCATATGACTATAGATAGCTTCAATTTATTCTTCTGGAAACTGCCTGGTTATATATTTTGACCATTTATCAATTGAAGAATGGCTCTATTTTTGTAAATTTAACTCAGTTTTACATTTAGTATATATTTGAGAAATGAGGCCTTCATCAGAGAAGCTTCATGTAAATATATATGTATATATATATATATGTATATATATATATATATATAAAACTTCATTATCTATGATACCTTTTAGTATAATGTAGTTTCCCTGATTA